ATCTGGTTCTTTCCTCCTGCCATGGGCAGGGACACCCTCCATTGGATCAAGTTGCTCAGAGCTCCATCCAACCTGGCCTTAAATGCTTCCAGGGATGGGGCATCCACAGCTTCTCTGGGAAACCTGTACCAATGCCCTACCAACCTCCTAGCAAAGAATTTCTTTGTAATATCTGATTTAAACCTACTCTGTCAGTTTGAAGTGTCAGGCCTTGTCCTGTCACTCCAGGCCCTTGTAAATTGTCTCTCTCCATCTTTCCTGTGGTCTCCCTTGAGGTACTGGAAGGCCACAATTAAGTTGCCACGATTTTTTTTCTTTTCCAGGATGATCATTGAAGACTGGGCATAGCAGGGATACAGCAAAATACTCTCTGAAGTGTGAAGTACAGATAGATTTTAAACAGTGTTTTACACTTCCTCTTCAAGCCACAGGCATCATCAAAACAGAAGACAGGCCGAAAATAATTTTATTTGTCTACATATCCAGTCCTGACACTCACATGTTCAACTGTTTTCACCTAAAGTGGGTAGGAAAGCTGCTTATTATGCCAAACCTGTGGATTTTGCATCCCATGTTAAAAAATTGAAACATACAAGAGAGAAGTGGAAACACAAAAGAACTTACGACTGATATAAGCCTATATGACATATTTTGCTGTGAGTTCATCACAGAAATCTGGAAATACTAATAATCCTCATTTGGTTTCAGATACCTAGGTTGTTGTTCTTTCCCTGAATGGTTTATACAGCCATTGGAGAGAAAGGTTAAAGGAATCTACCTTAGAGTAAGCTGAAGTACACCCTAGAAGTGTGCACTTTCTGTAATTGCATAGTCTAAATCACTAACACTGTTTTAGATATTTTTGCTGCAGTGTTCTCATTTGACCTGAGAAGTCCCTCCTTAAAGAAGCTGTTGGAAGAGTTCAGGAATAATCACTTAGGAAGCCATTAGAATTTGGCAAGGAAAGGAAGGCACACTGATGCTAATGGCAGTGATTAGTGCTCTAATTCATTGGGCAGCAGGATTATCCCATCTGTGATATCTGCTTGTGAGGCAGGGCTCCATCACCAGGTCACCACTCTCTGACACTGGCCCTGCTTTTCGAACTCCCACCTCATAGAATAATGGAATCATGGAATCATGGAATGGCCTGGGTTGGAAGGAACCTCAGAGATTGTCTTGTTCCAATCCTTCTGCTATGGACAAGAACGAATTCCTCTAGACCAGGCTGCCCAGAGCCCATTCCAACCCTTTGCTGAACACTTCCAGGGATAAGGCATCCACAACTTCTCCAGTGAGCCACCTGTTTCAGTGCCTCACCACTCTCATGTGGGAATCCAGGGCATCCCTCTGGCTGCCCTGGAAGGCCTGGGACCCTGGCAGGGGGTCAGGAACCCCCCTGGACAGAGCCCCCAGAGACACTGTCTGTGATCTCTGTCCATGGAAAAGAGTTTTCAATCTTACAGGATGAATTACGAGCTCTGAGTGTTTGATATGAGTAATAATTAAGTGTGGCACAGATGCAAAAGTAAAATTTTAGGATTCTAGATAAGGGGTCCAAAGGGGACAAGATGGAGGAAATTGGGTGTGTCTTGTCCTTTTTCTCCTTCTTCATGCCCTCCATGTTTCACTGTGGTGTTGGCATTTTTCTGTTGGTTTAGGCTGGGGACACACTGTTCAACATAGATGACAGATATTGGCACATTATTGTAAATCCAGCACAGGTAGTTTCTGGTATTTAATGTTTGTAACATCCCACTGGGGGCAGAGCCCCACACGCTGCCCTGCAGGACAGAGCTGCGGCAGGGCAGCAGAACACGTTAGAGATAAACAGAATAAACAACCTTGAAACCAGCACAGACGAATTATGGCTTCTTCTTTGGCAGCGGGGCTGAAAGACAGAGACTTTTTACAATCTCAGAATCATCAATACCTCAGATTCCAACACTCTCAGAGAAAAGATTTTTTTCCTAACATCTAATCTAAACCAACTCTCAATCAGTCTGAATCCATTCCCTCTTGTGCTGTCACTATTTGCACTTACTCCCTGAGGAAATTCTGAACCCACCTGATCTGTCCAGAGCCTCATGAGGCTTTGGAAAACCACAATAAACAGGACACAGGACAACTGCAAGTAAAGGAGGCATGTGGCAGCAAGGATGAAAGTGGGCCCTACAGAGGGCTGTAGAAAACCCTACAAACAGCAAATGTCAGGCTTGTGTGCATCATGTGAATAAAGATGCCAAAACAAGAACTATAGTTCATTGCTTTGCAAATATTTGCAAAGCCAGTGTAGGATGCACAGCCGACAGCTGAGGGATTCTTTGCAGGAGCAATGGGAAGTGTTTCTGATGGGCAGTTTAGCCTGGAGAAAAAGAGGTCCGAGGGAGACTTTATCACTCCCTGGAAAGAGGGTGTAGCCAGGTGGGGCTGGGCTCTTCTCCCAGGAAACAAGTGACAGGAAAAGAAGAAATGCCCTCAAGTTGCACCAGGGGAGGTTCAAGTTTGACATCAGAAGGAATGACTTCATGGAAAGGGTTGTTAAACTTTGGAATTGTCAGGGAAGTGGGGGAGTTATCACCCCTGGAGGTGTTCAAGACTGGGCTTGGCACTTAGTGCTGTTGGTCTAGTTGACAAGGTGGTGATTGGTCAAATTTTGGACTTGATGATCTTGGAGGCTTTTCTAATCTAAGTGATTTTGTGACTCTGTGATCGTATTCATGTTAAAATTGAAAAAACCTGAAGCATTCACTGATTTACACTGAGCACAGAAAAAGGCATGTCTTGCCAAAAGTGATGCCTACAAATAATTTATTTTTATTGTAGGGCCTCAAGATAAAACAAATATTGTCTTGTTTCTCTGAAATATAGGCAATAGGACAAAAATCCTGGAGAGGTATTAAATAAGAACCATTGTGAAAGAAGCTGAACATTACCAGGTTTAATTGTATCTGTCTGCTCTTTGTGATCAGAAGGTGCACTGCTGGAAGAGCAGTTTATACTTTTCAGGACACAGGTGAATTTTCAGAGGACTAATACCAGAGATACTATAATCCTACTAAAAGTTCATAACTTATGCCTTTAAAAATCTTCTGCTTTTTTTTACATTTTCTAAGAAAGACGACATCAAAAGAGAATAGTTCCTAATGCTGGGTTTGGGCCATATAGTCTCCAAACCCAAGTAACCCTGCATCTTAATTTATCCTATATTTCTATACTCCTTGCAGGGAAAAAATTACTGGGGATTTAATTTGTTCCATTTTTGCTGCCTAAATTATTGCCAGGGCTCTGAAGTCAGAGCACAGGTTGAGTTATATTTTTTCAATCTTTTTGGAAAGAACCTTTTCAAGGAGCTACCATTTGAGCTTTTTTGTTTTACTGAGAAACTGAACAACTGAATAACATGGATTGAACATGATGAATAGAGAAACAATGTGGTTTCCTGTCTGGAAAATGTAGTGAAAACAGAACAACTGGTAGCTTTGAGAATGTGAGTGATACTGAGAGGTCAGTTCTAAACCTATCAGACCCATAACTGAATAAATAGGTTTAAATACTGTGTAGTGGAAATTAGATGCCACAGGAGAGAAATGAAGCCAGCAAGTTATTTCTCTGTGATGTGGCTAACCATAGTACCTTAAAAGCATTGATGTGTAAAACTGTTCAGCATTCAGGGGTTTTAAGTCCTAATAGACAGCTTGAGGCTTTAACTCTGCTGAAGTTCTGTAGCAGAAAGCACAGAATTAAACTGGCTGAAAACAATTCAGTAGGCAGTTTGGAGCTAATGCTTTAAAAAATAGGGTGAACACTGAGGATTGGTGGCTTGTATTTCAGCAGGTGTGAGCAAAACCAAAATGCCACTTGCCCAAGGAAAGGAGGTGGTTTTGGCCTTCGTCCATTTGTATAAAAACTGTATAACTTCATCTGTGACTGGCCAGCCTTAGCTGAAACTTCCCATAAACTGATTAATGCCATGGTCTAGAGGCACCTGGCAGACTTATCATCTACTGAAAACACAGAGATAATTTTTTCTTTGGCTACAAATGGATGCAAATTGAATGTTAAACTGGAAGAGTCACTGGGGACTTGCAGAGTGAAAAAATAGATAAGAGAAACTGAAATAAAAGTGTCTGACAGGATTTTTCATTTCTAAGAGAGAACAGTACTTCATGATGGGCAACAAAGGAACAGATGTGTTTTAATAGGTTGCTTCATGGTTGCAAGACATTAATCTCTTGGCTGGACACACTAGTGAGGAGCTGGCAGCATTTCTTGTGAAGTTAAGAAAGAAGAATCAAAAGCAGCATTGAATCAAAGTGGCAACAAGAACTGGGCCAGACAGAGGCAATGAACAGCTCAGGAGCTCTGGGCACTGGTAGAGGCAACCAGCACACATCCCATAAACTGCCTGAACACCACAGGCAGCTTTTTGATAGCATTACATGGAAAGATGTTCCACTGAAGCATGCCTAACTTTGGGCTTGGAAAAACAGAGCAAGTCTCCAGTCTGCAAGGACTAAGCTTCTCCCATGGAAAATGTGGGCCAGTAAAGCTGCACCTCTTTGGCTGAGTGCTGGACTTGGGGAGCAGAGCTGAGCTCAGAGAGATCCACGCTCCTGTAGCATGGGACAGCCTGGGATAGCATCAGCCCAGACACATCTGCACACAACTGCAGCCACAGGTGACCCCGCTCATTCATAGGTTGCCTTTTTTCCACATGGCTAAAATGCAACTAAAGTAACAACTCTAAAATGCATTTAGAAAGCAGCCAAATGTAAAAGCTAAACCCTCTCCTAGCAGTAAATGATAACAGATTGGTTTGGAATTTAAAGATCATCTACTTCCAACCATTACAAAATATTTGTTTCCATAGTTTTTTTTTATTTTCTTCCAAGTTAAATGTGGCCATGGAGACATAATTGCTAATATAGAGATGTATTTTATTAAAGTGTTATTAGTTTAAATTTTACCACTTTTTATCAAATTTATAACCACACAGATATAGTTCACATTTTATTTACAGAAACATATTGATTTTGCTGGTTCATAAAAGGTGCTTGGAAGACATGGCAATGGGATGGGAGCTGCCTTTTCCTTCAGATCAATTAGCATGAATTTCATAGACTGTAAAATGGATGCATTTGCAAGACTCAGCATATTCCTGTGGCTTCTCATGCAGCAGCAGCAGCACCCGAGCCTCTTAGCACTAGAGACACACTTGCTGGAAATGCTCATGAAGAAGTGAACCATCAAGCACAGGTTTTTGGCAGGCTCTGACACAGTCTAACTGAATTAATTCTGCTGATTATACCCCCTGCAGTATTTACTTGATGAATTACAAGGGGCGAGAGCTGCTGCACGTATTCCTGCTCCGGAGGCGGCGCTCACTGGAATTGGTGCCCAGGTTTAACCATTGCCATAGGTCAGCCAGCTCTGCAGAGGTGGGGATTCATTTGCTTAATTGTTCTTCCTCGTTTTCTCCAGCCTTGCCTATATTCTGTGCAAAAACTAGCTGAATTATTCTCGTGAAATACCAGCTAAGAATTTTATATCCCTTTTTTCGTTGTTGTTCACCAGATTGTCAGACCAGATTGGTTCATACAAATCAATTGTATCTTTTGTTTGTTCAATGAATGTTAATATCCATGGCCTTTATGATGACTCTGTGTTACTGTCTTGTGATTGATCATTAAAATTGCACTGCAACATTTTGGATTCTTGGCTAATAGATTTTGCTAACTTTCGAATAGAATTATAAAAAATGAGTTTTTACAATTGAATTACTCAACTTGAGAGCTGCTAAATATTTTAAACATTGATCAAAACAAAACTTTTGGGAATTGATCATTTTCAGATGTTTCTGATTTTCTCAGGTCTTTTTTTTATTAAAATTATAAGATTGAAATTAAAATTCTAAGACAGTTTTTTCTTTCATTAAAAAAAAAAAAAAAGGAAAATAAACCCCCCACTATGAAAAATTCTGATTCAGAAGGGAAAATCTGATGCTTCATGAAAATTTTGGTTCATTCTGCTGCCTATTCTATGAAGTGTTTACCTCAAACTGTATCACTTTTCATGCAGTCTGAACAGGACTTGAACATCAACACAGCAAATGTTAAGACTCCAATATCTGATAGGAAATGAAAGATAGACAGGGAGACAAGCAAAAAAAAAAAAAAAAAAAAAAGACAATGTTGGGAAAACAAACAGGAACAGTTAAAGCAGCATTTTCTAAAATAAATTCAGTATTTACATTTTGACATTTCCTAAACTGTCAATATTTTATTAATACTTTCTATTTTTGAGTAACCCTGAGAGTGATATTAGTTGCATATTTTGCTTTCACAATCCTGTGAATCCTGGCATTTGGCCAATGAGGTGATTTAATCTTAATAGTGCTTATTGATTACAAGTCAGACCAGAGAACAAAAGAGAAGATCTAAGTCTGCTTGGATAGGTACAAATTTCTTGAGATAGAGGCTGAGAGACAAACCTGCTGCCACACCTCTGTGTTTTTTCATTCCATCTTCGGGCACACCCACGACCTTCTCAAGGCAGTACGGAATTCCTCATCCCACCCACCTGCTGCTTCAGTTTGTGTTGGCGCCTGACAACTGCACAAACACAGTTATGGCCATAGAATCATGGAATCACAGAGTCATAGAATGGGCCTGGGTTGGAAGCGACCTTACAGGTGATCTGGTTCTGTCCTCCTGCCATGGGCAGGGACACCCTCCATTGGATCAAGTTGCTCAGAGCTCCATCCAACCTGGCCTTGAACGCTTCCAGGGATGGGGCATCCACAGCTTCTCTGGGAAACCTCTGCCAGGACCTCACCCCACACTCACAGGGAAGATTTTTTTTTCCTAATCTAATCTAAACCTGCTTTCTGTCAGTTTGAAGCCATTCCCCCTTGTCCTGTCACTCCAGGCCTTTGTAAATTGTCTCTCTCCATCTTTCCTGTGGTCTCCCTTGAGGTATTGGAAGGCCACAATAAGGTCACCATGAATCTTTCTCTTTTCTAGGCTCAACAATCCCAGTTCTCTCAACCTTTCCTCATAGGAGAGGTACTCCAGTCCTTTGTTCATCTTAGTGGCTTGTAAGTTTAATATACTATTTAAATAATATGACATATAGTTTACTTAATAGTTATTTCACAAGTTTAATTTATCTTTTCTGAGACGCAACAGAGAGCGAAAAATTCATAATCTATTTTTCTAACATTTTTGTCTACAAAAGAAAGTAAAAGTTTGCTCATACGTCAAAGTGACGCTTTATTTGCTATTATCTTTTAACATTTTCAAATTGCTGGAATTATGTACAGGCCTATTTTTTCTTGATTTCATCAGATAAAGAGGATGAGTGTTTTTGAGGAGATGATAGTCTTAAAACGCTCTTGTTTGTGCCAGTTATATTTATATGCATTTGACTTTTCAAATTGTTCACGAGCAATATTGTTGCTGTCTAACCTCAAACAAATTTCATAGAATTAAGAGATAATTTGTTAGCATTCTGAGGTGCTAACAATCTCATTCATACGGCTTTTTAAGGTGAATCTACCACAATTCTGCTGAACATAACTAAGATTTTCAAGGCAGATTGAGGTGAATTTGGCAAAAAATATTTCAATTTTCGAGGTGAATTTGGCAAAAAATATTTTAAATCTAATTTTTACTTTATCCTGTTGAACTCTTGAAGGTATTTTCCTTTCCTTTCCTTCTTCCTCTGGGTCAGATGATGTTAGCAATCAATTTTTGCAAGTCTTTCTCAATAAATATTCTCAACCTCAACATGTATGAGCTACACGTTAGAGTGATGGTGTGATGGGAAGCATTGAGTTAGAAATTAAGGAGGTTGAGATAAGTATGTTTCCTTAGAATTTAACAAAGGCTAATCTTGGTACTGAAATAGATGTCAAATAAACATTTCTCTGCTGAATTGTTGATCAGTTTGGCAAAAATATTTCCTTAATATGAAAATAAACTTAGAATACTTTGTCTGAGACAAGTCCAACCAGAATTGTTGCACTTTTTGCCATTTGACTGGTGAAGCAAAATTTTCAGATTTAAGTAGGAGAGACCTTTGTGTCTAGTTTGCCATTTCATCTATTTTAATCTCACTGAATTACAAGTCAACATTTTTGAAGGACTAGTGGTTTGTTTAGTTTTATCAAACCAGATTTGATACTTTAAAAGGCACCAGCTTTGTCTGAATGAAGACATTTCTATGGAGGGTTGCATTAAAAAGTCAGTAAATTTCGTTTCCTTTATAGTGTCATGTTTTTTCATCATGAGCAATATATTATGTGTTTTTATATTGAAGTTTTCTTGAGAAAGGAAAATAAAAATTTTGAAAAACCCTTGATCTTTTGTCTTATGGACTTACAGCCAAGATAACATGTGTCTAACAAAAGGTCCAAGTAAAATGCTGGAAGTGCAACTGGACAGCATGCTATATGTAATAATATATTTCTGTAATTATAATAATATTGGATGACAATAATGAACTTCATATACTAATTTTATTCTTGTCCAAAAGCAAAGCTCCTTTGGTAATAAATTAGTAAAAACTCACTACAGTTAAAAAGTAACAGGGTAATACAGGATTCGCTGTTTTTCTTTTCTTCTATTCTGCTCTCTTACATGATTTCAATTGGTATGATAGAGGATTAGCAGAATTCCTAAGAAAACTCTTAAGCTTTCTCTATCTACTTAAAGTTTCACAATGCTGCATTTTTAAGGAGATTAATTCATATTAGTGGCATAAATATTATTCATATTTATATTGCAATGCAAATAGTTTATGCATGGGGAGAAACATCTAATATTAAAATACTGAAAGCTGCTTCTGTGATGGCAGTGGGGCAGAGAGAAGGAAGGAAAGCTATTGCTTATAATTACTTAAAGTAAATTTCTTGAATGTTTAGGTATTCTTTGTCCTGATCTTTGTATTATGATTAAGTCTCTCTGAAGTGATTCTTTGGAAGAATATTTAAAGTGGAGTTAATTGTCACACTGATTTCCACACAGTGTCTTGCACATTATTTTTTTCTTTTAAATTCTGTCCAAATTTGCACATGTGGGTGAAATAATTATAGCTAAAAAGTAAAGTAGTTCAGTGAGAGCAACGAATCAGAATATTTTTTCCCTTGAAATTTAGAGAAATCCCAATTCTTATTCACTTCCTCTATATCCTTTCTTCCAAAACTGATTGGTGCATTTACCTAATTTTATAGGTGTATCATTAATGTGCTGCTCTTAATTTATGCCCCTCATCTTCTCTCACATTTTGCACCACAAGTTTGCTTAGGAGAACTACAAAATTGATATTTGGATTGTTTTGAGGTGCTGAGTTAACCCACTCTGAAGATTCTGTGGAGCCCATGACTGAGCTTTGGATAGCACAGCACAGCTGTCAATGTTAGACTGACTGCTGAATTTGCTGATTTAAGGTCAACTGTTTCTTAACCTAATGAAACCCTCCCCCTTTAAGATTTTTGTTATTTCACTCTATTTATATTATTCAGTCTCAGCTTGTTCTACTCGACATAGGCCAGCTTAAGCTCTGCTCAGTGCTTATGGAATAGTCCCTATAATAAAGATTGAGACAATTATGTCTGGTGAAAGGATTCCTTTGTTTGTTATGTATTTGGGGAAAAAAAAAAATCCTTTGTAGGTACTGCTCTTCTCTCAGTGCTTCGCTTGGTTAGAAAGTGAATGCAGAGAGGTTTGTCTTTTTAAATTTAATTCCTCTCTGGCTATTCCCACTCTGTGGCTTGAAAACATTTGTAGCCCCATTTTGCTGGAAGCCAGAGCAGTCAGGTGTGATTGCTGATGCTCCAGGAAGTGAGGCAGGAAGCACACAGACACTTTTCCCTGCTGCACTCCTCGATGGATTGCTGAATCCCAGGAGAGAGTGTGAACATATACAACTCTTTTGGTTTTGTGGCCTTGCTTTCAGTTCTTCCCACTCTCTGACTTGTGACTTGAAGAAGGTGCTGGCTAGAAAACAGAACTCATCCTCTATTGTAAATGCAGGCGAACCCAATGGGAAGAAATGACAATATCTGACTCAATTCAAAAGGCTGAATTATTTCTTAATTATAACTATGCTAAAATACATTAATATACCATATAAAAGGAGGATACTAAAACTACATACTACTTTCTCTGACTCTAACACAACTCATGACCCTCTCTGAGAGTCCAGCCCCAGGTGGGTTGGATTGGCTATCAGGATCAAACAATCCTCACCAGAATCCAACCAAGCACTCACTCTGGGTAAACAATTCTCCAAACACATTCCACTTAGGAAAATAAGGAGCAGAAATAGAAATTGTTTTCTCTTTCATTTCTCTCTGTGCACCTCTATGAAAAATCCTGAGAGGGAGAGAAATGTGCTTGCCACAATGCTCTTCTATGAATCTACCTATAATTATATCCAAAATAAGAAATTCAAAATACTCTGTCATTCTGCTTTCCGCCCAAATACCTCTGATCTCAAGCTGAACTCCAACGTACTTCCAGGGGTCCAAAGGAGCATATTACATGCATTTTATTTTCGTCTAAAAGCTGTGCCAATTCCTTCCAGCTCCTAAACAGAGCAGGAAAGAAAAGAAGCATGAGAAAGTTGAAAGAGATATCTGAAGAAAAACTCTCTCCTCCAAAGAGCTTCACCTGCCCAGTGGAGCAAAACTGCACCCAGATTTTCCCTGTCAGATCCTGAACTCAAAGACCTGGGCTCAGATTTTCAGAGGTATCCAATAACTCTGAAAGTGCTATGAAGGGCCTGGATTTCTACAAAGTGCTGAGTGCTATTCCTCTGAAAATCAATTGCCTCTACAGTGCTTCAAGCCAGGCATATAAAACACAAGAACTCCAAATCACTAGCTGGTCTTAAAAAGTCTTGGCTCTGAAGCCTGCCAAGTCAGCACCTTCTTTGCCTACTTGTAAAGGCAGCCAAAGAAAGGAAATAGATGAGCCATCAGCTCCGAGCATAATTTCTACTGATTCAGTTCTTAGTTCATGAGCTAGTTGGAAGGAGAAAAGGGAAGCATATGAAGAGAATGTTTTAAATCTCATAAGACAAAATCCAAATGCCTTTAAAACAATAAATAAAGCACTTGTTAGAGGAGTAGTTACCCCTTCTGTACACTTAGAAGGAAAATGAATTAATTAAATTTTAATTACTAAACACATAAAACTAGTATATTAATTAAGTGGTTTCCAGTTGCAGTAAATGATGCATCAGCATTTTTTTCCTATATCTTATTTCACTGATGACAGCCAGTAATGGGCTTTCAGGCTCAATGAGGGCTCCAAGCACTGGGAGCAGCAGGTTGGGAAAAGCAGCCAACAAATCTTTTGACATTAAAAAGCAGAGCTCTGCCACTAATTATGTTAAAAGTCAAGTTTGCAATTACAAGTAGATGGTCCAGGCAGCAAAGTGGATGTGTCAAAAACCATAACCCAAGACACCAAGCACTGAGACCCTGCTATACGCCCAGTCTTACACTAAAGCAGGTGCTCCAATTTGAAATTGTGTCTGCCTGACAGGGGTTTGGTGGAAGATTAGCTTGCCCAGGCTCAGAGAGAATAAGGAAG